AGATATTGACCTAGAGCACATTGAAGCCATCCAATATAGAAATGACTAGTGCATGAGTGACAGTAAGCATGACTCCCAGGAAAGGGTGCCATTGAAACACAAGATGAATTAGTGAAAATGTCCCCCTGATCACAGATGCCACCTGTCCTTTCAGCAGGAAGGGTAGACGTACACTTTCTCTTGAGAGCAGGCAACAGAATTTCATTTTTAATGTGGGCATGTGTGCTTGCAATAAAAAAAATGACAATAAAGTCACATTATCTTATCACCTTAACACTACTGTCTTGCAAATCATGACTCTGATTCGAAAGAATTCTCCTTGATAAAGTAACCAAAATACACCCGGAATATAGGTCTCCATAGATCAAAAGGTGAGCATGTCAGCAGCTGCCAGAATTTGCCACCTCCCGTTCGAAAGAGGGACTGGTGACTGTCTTTCTTACCGGGAAGTGGTATCGGGACTCCACAAATAAACAGAATAGAATAGAATAGAATAGAATAGAATAGAATTCTTTATTGGCCAAGTATGATTGGACATACAAGGAATTTGTCTTTGGTGCATATGCTCTCAGTGTACATAAGGAGAATAAAAATACATTCATCAAGATTAAAGATACAATACTTAGTGATAGTCAAGGTTACTAATAAGCTATCAAATGGTACTAGGAAACAAATAAAAACAATATGTTGAAAGATACAAGCAGCATGGCAATAGTAATCAGTTGGAAGAGATAGATACTAGTAAGGAAGAGAAGAAGAATACTAATACAGTCTTGGTACATTATGTGGTCCGATATTAAATCAATCAGGCAATAAGGACAGCGCCTGCAAAGGGTCCCAATCAGAAGGAAGAAGTCTTATTGGCTTCAGTTAGATTTACTTCTGGGTAACGGTTGCACTCAGCGCCCCGAGAACCTCCCAGCATCGGCCTGCCGCCTTTCCTAAAGAGATGCACCTGCTAAAGAGAAGCATTTGCTGCGGCCTGAGAAATAACCAATATAAACGGCCAGGCAACCGCAGGCCTGATTGCTAACGCCGCGGCGGCAGAAGTTGTGAAACTTCTGCTAGTTTTGCTCTCCCTCTTTCTCTCCTGCTCGCCGAATCCCACGCAGACGGGACTCTGCTCTATCCCACGGTCGTGCCAGCGTCTTCCCCTCTTCCCTCCGGCTCCGGAGCGGCAGGTGGCGCCGTCCGTGGTTCGCACAGGAAGGCAGCCTGGCGGCGGGTGGCTTGGGAGGAGGCCCGCTGGTCAAAGGACGGCGGGGCGGGGTTCCAGCTTGGACTCGCCGCTTGGGCTCTGGCCGGCGGAGTGTTGCAGGCAAGTCGGAATGGGGTTGTGCCTGCCCTGCCTGGGGGGAACTGCCGACCAAGTGGTGGAGACGCCGGACCCAGTAAGTGGGGCGAGATCGGGCTGCCGAAACTCGTTCCGTGGCGGCTGGGGGTTTCTCCTTCCTTTTGGCTTTTCTGGGCAATCCCAGGTGTCGTTCAGCGTTCGCCTTCCGACAAATTCCAGATTGTTTTTTTTTTTTAAACCCTCCTTCATGCAGCATCTCTAAAATGCCCTTAAGCCTTCGCCGAGCTTGTTCCCCCCCCCCTTTGTTTATTAATTGTTAGATTATGTATGAAAAATACAACAGCTTTGAAGTACGAGCAAAGCCCGGTGTTTCTCCAAAACCAAGCCCTGTTGAGTTTACTTACTCCCAGGTTCCGCCTTGTAATATTAAAAAAAACAAACAATCTGGAATTTGTCGGAAGGCGAACGCTGAACGACACCTGGGATTGCCCAGAAAAGCCAAAAGGAAGGAGAAACCCCCAGCCGCCACGGAACGAGTTTCGGCAGCC